AAAAAAAAAAAAAAAAAAAAAGTGGTTGCTCCCTGTGGAACAGAGGTGTCAGCACCGGGAGGGGAGACAGAGCCCGTGGTGCAGAAATAGCAGTGGGCTCTCCCCACCCACGGAGGGTGGACGGGGCTGGCTGGGGCCCAGGGGTGTGGAGGGAGTTACAACACACCTGACTATAAAACCCGACCGTGGCTCCAGCCCCGAGCTCGCGCGTCCACTGGAGGATGGGTTGGAGCTCCTGGGCGGGTCTTCAGTTGTGTAGTTTCCCTTGGAGCACTGTGAGTGAGAAGTCAAAGAGGGAGAAGTTGTTCTCTGGCTGCCCGGGACCCCCAGGAGAAGCTGTGGGTGCAGGCAGCACCCTGGTGAGACGGGGGGCTGTGTGTGAGGCAGGTGGCTGGGCTGGGGACCTGAAATCATGGCTGCTCGCTTTCGCCGGCAAATCTTGCATTTGTGTGGTTTCCTTTTCCTTCTTCTACATACTTTTTTTTTTTTTCCTCCTTCTCTCTTCATTTTGTTCCGTTTGCTGTGGAGGCAGATTTCAGCCCTTCCAACCTTTTGGTTCCAAACTCTGCACAGGAGCAAAGCTTATCACAGAGCAGGGCTCAACTTTAACTGCCCATGAGATGTTAATCTGCTGGAGAGTCTCAAGTGCTCCTGTAGCCGAGCCTTGCTTTTCCTTCTGCTGCTCTGCAATTCCCCAGGCAGATGCCTCCCAACTCCTCACAGCCTCCCCAGGCTCTTTTTTCTGAAGAAGATCACAAGTGAACTTCCTAGCCCAGGAAAGCTTCTGTGCAGAGCAGCAGAGACAAAGCCCTGTCCATCTGCAGCGCTCAGCCCTCTCCTGAAGGCCTGCCTGCCGTCGGAGGCGGCAGGAGGATGAAGGTTGTTCTCTCCATCAGCTCGGGACTCCCCTGCCCAGAGGTTCAGGTCATGAGTGAGGCTCAAGGGAAGAGCCCTCGTGGCTGGATCCCCTGGTGGCAGGGACTACATCCCTGCCTGATGTTGGCCGTGATGCTTCGGGAACCTCCTGGCTCCGGTTCCTCACACTTGATGAGCTGCCAAGCCTGGAAGAAATAAGGGATATCCTTGGAAAGCAGCAGCTGAAGTTCAGGGAGATCCCAAATGCAGCCAGAAATAGTGTCAGCAAGGCCAGCCCTGGCCAAGGACCCTCTGGACTGTCGCTGGTGGCAGCGGCCGGCGTGGTGACACCGGCTGACGGGCGCAGCGGTGCAGGAGCCGAGCGAGCGTGGCCTGAGCCGCGTGCAGGAGAGACTGAGCTCCCCGATGGCCCTGCTGACGGCCGCTCTTCCAGCCTGCCCTGCCGTAGCTCCTTCCTCGGACGTCTGTCCTCAGGGGCACCTTGGCACACACATCTGGCATGGGGACGATGATTCTGTGCTTGTCACTGGGGTCTGAGCAGGGAGATCATTTTGAAACCTCCTTGGATGGATCTGCAGTTTGTAAAACCCACCCACAAGAGAGATTTTGAAGTCAGATCCCCTCAAGCTCTCTGAGCTGAGGTGGAAAAGGGCAGGAGAAAGACAGCTGACTGCCCAACAGCCCTCCCCGTTTTTCCCCCAGCCCATGGATTGGAGGCTGCTCCCTTTAAATTTGGCAGAGACCAACAGCTCCAGCCCTGATTCGGTTACTGCCCCCAGGTGCTGTTGGTCTGGCTCTCCCCCAGCTCCTGCAGGCCCTCAGCTCCTGGTAGGTGCTGTGGTTTTTTCTCCTCCTTTTCTAGTTTATTCTCAGGAGTAAATTGCAGGAATCCAGAACTCGGTCTGTTTTCTAGGTCACTCTGCTGCTGTGTGTTTGTTGAAAAGGTTCCCTGGTGTGTGTGCTGCTGCGGGCTGTTGTCACAGGCTGCGGATCCCCAGCTGCCCCTTTCCTGGGGGGAGGCTCAGTGCTTCGGGGTACAGGGTGCCCCTCTGCCAGTTCTGGGGGTTGCTAACACAGGGGAGCAGGTAGAAAGGTTGGGGACCGCTCTGGGGGAGGAAGCTCACCCTGGAGACTGTCACAGCGCGTGTTTCTCCATCCTATTTCACTACCCAGTTGAAAAGTGTGTCGGAGCCAGAGCCTGCCTCCCCAGGACCCGCACTGAGCCCCGGAGCAGGGACATCCCTGGGCCACTCGCCCTGAATCGCCCTTTCCCTGCACATGAGCTGGCCCCAAAGGAGCAGCACTGGGGGCAGAACAGGCTCCGGGTGCCCAGCGGGGAGGCTGCACCCACCCAGGGAGGGTGGCAGAAGGCCGCTGCATTCTCAGCTTCTGGAACTGGGGCAGCTCTCCTTGGGGACTGGGGGGGCCTTTCTTGCTGGGGCTGCCTGCATGCAGATCAAACAGATCAAACAGAGCCCCTCGGGACAGGGAACAGCCCAGAAACACCATCAGCCCCAAGGGCTTTGTAATGGGCACAACCAGCTCCACTGAACCCTCCGGGGTCTGGGCTGCCTGGAAGAGGGACGTGGGAAGGAAAGGGTGGCACTGCCAGGGGGAACGGCAAGTTAAAGCTGTCTCTGGGATCACCAGTTTGGTCCCTCTTCTCCCCTGGACCGGTCTGCATTGCCCCAGGAGCAACAGGCAGCTCCTCTCTGGCTTCAGATGCCCCTTGGCCCTCCCTGACTCCCTTGCGTGTGCTTTGGCCTGATGGGTTAACTACGATTAGTTTGATTTTAGCAGTTGGTCATCCCCACCCTGGTCAGGCAGGGCTGGCTGTTTCAGGGCACCTCCGCAGGGAGCAGAGGCAGGGGACCTGGCCTTGCCCACCCCCGAGGGGGGAGGTTTGGGAGCTGGCGCTGGCAGGCCACGCGGTGGGACACTCCTGATCAGCAAACCGCGTTGGAAGCTGTGCGGCCCGGGCTTCGAAGGGCCTTTCTACCAACGGCATCCTCTGCAAAAGGAGAGAAGCATCCCAGGAGAGGGTAAGGGCAACTCTCACCCAAGGTAAGAGGGGCTAGTAAGGGGCAGAGACTGTCTGTGACGGAGACCTGGGCTACGCGGCCCAGGACAGAGGGGCAGGCGGTGCAGGTGGCCTGGCACCAGGCTGGGCCGTGTCCCCAGGCAGGGCTGGCAGGTGGCACCGGCCTGGGGGGGGTGTTTGCCCCAAGCCCTGCGCTGGCCCAGTGCGGGTGCTGCAGCACAGCTCCGCTGCCCAGCACAGCCGCTTTGGCCGCCGGCATCGCCACGGTAGCCACGTCCCTGCCCAGTTTGTGAGCAGCCTCCAGCTCTTCTGGCGAGCGCCCGGCAGAGCAGCACACGGCTCGTCACCCCTGCCCCGCTGAAACGCTCAGGGACAGGCAGAGGGACACGGGAGGGAGGGAGGAATTAATGAATTATTGATTGTGCGGGGGGGCTGCGGCAGGCTGACCGCAGAGGCGGTGGGTGCCCACGGCTTGGCTCTCCGGGCACTGCTCTGCTGGCAGCTCCAGGGGCCGAGAACCGCTCCTGGGGCACTGCTGTGGAACTCCCTGCTTTGTTAATCTCTTCTGCCTCCAAAGCAAGAGAAACTGCACAAAAATCTCTCCGAGCAGAATAAACCTGGGAGCATCCGTTTGTGCCAGGCAGGTTCGAAGGCTCCCGGGACCTGTTTTGTCCTCAAGACCGCGGTGCTCGGCGGGGCTATGCCACCCTCTTGAGGCTGATGCCGTGTTTGCAAAGGAGAAAATTGCTCACAGCGACAGGCTCTGAAGGTTTTTCTCTACATCACCAGGAAACACTGTTGGGGTTTTTTGTGTTGCTTTTTTTTTTTTTTCGGGCAACCTTAGTATGTTCCGCTCAATGAGCTGGTTAAGCAGCACAGCGTAACAGCCTGTGCCTCAGGTTTTGTTCTGGGGACTAGTTTAAGCTGTCTTGTTTTTTTCTTAGTGAGTAGAGTGTGTCCTGCCTGTCTGTCAGAATTCTAGCAACAGCAATCCCAACTACAGCTCTGCTTACTAGAAGAAAGGATTTATGCAGTATCTCTGGCTGACGGTTTCCTTCCTCTGCTGTTGGGCACCTTATTGACTGACTGTTTCCACGCCACGTGCTCGGAAAACATTAAATATAAAAATAGCACAAGCAGTAGATCTGTTGTGGAAGTCATGATTAGGGTTCAGCGTAATAAATGTGAGTTCAGCGCTGCTCTGACCCTTCCCTTTCATGGCAGTTCTGCAGGTTTCAGAACCGTGTGTCCACTGCCCACCCCGGGTTCGACTCCTAAGAACTGGTTACTCCTTTTCCACGTTTCCTCCTCTGTTTCTAATTGTGGTTTGCCTCCTGGCGGGGTACAGCAGGATGGTCCTGGTGGCACCAAAGGCATCCCTTCGTTCAGGTGAGCAATCCCGTGGCAGGAGAAGAGGACAAGTCTCATAAAACTGCAGCTGTATTTACCTTTGTCACATCAGCCTGTTCGTTAGGGTGCGTTACAGAACGTCTTCAGAAGGAAATTCTAGAAGATGTTCATGGAGTATCAGGTGTCTGTAGGCGCTGAGGCACAGAGAACAGGTACTACGTTGGAGCATACTGGGTTATGCCTCTGAAGGCATGAGAAGTTCCCCTGTACCCCGATGGATGCACCAGTATGGATACGGTTCTGGATCCAAGTAAGTTAACTGGAAAACTATTTTTTTTTTTTTTAAACTGGAAGCGATATTAGATGGTTTCCTGGATAAGATCTATATTAACAAATCCCTTGGCAATGCAGCTAATTTGGCAACTGAAATCTGAATCCCTGTCCACCGAGTCTGTGTAGTTTATTACATGAACTGTCTAGTCTGAGCTGCTCTTAAACAAGCAAACAAAACCCAACCCCACAAGTAATTGCAGTTTGAGCATAAGCTTTATTCTCTGATATTGATGTCTACAGAAGTGTAAGAAGAGGTTTCCACCAGTTTTAGAAAGGATTCATCTAGCCTTCAAACACACCATTTAGAATAATCACTATATTTACTAAGGAAAAGAGATAAAATAAGAAAATAAGCCTACATATTAGCCTGTGATTAACCTTGCCCTTCATTATTTTTGGCTCTAGGTCCTGTGTTCTTCCTTAAAGGGTCATCCATTCCAAAGGCTGTCAGGGCAAACTGCTCGGGGTCACAAACTTAATTCTTCTTCAGCGTTGTGAAATCAGTCATAATTTCATTTTGAAGTAAAATTGAAACCAAATCAGGCCATCTAGTGCTGTCGTCGTCCTTCGTCTTGCCTCAGTTTTTCATGTGTGTTTCTGAAAAGGCAAAAGATAAAGATTATTTTGATAGTCTTAATGTTTTTCTGAAAATCCTGTTTTGATAATCTGTCTAAAAGTTCTACAAGTGTTCAGCCGATGGCGGAGGATAAGGTGACTCTCACAGAGTTACATTCTCTAAGGGCAGATATACATAAGACAGTCTTATTTGTGTCAAGGCCACAGAAGTTGCCCTTTGGAAGGAATTCGGGGGGAAACGGAGAGAGGAGCTCGGAGGAAAGCCTGGGAGCCTGAGAAACAGGGCGAAAGCGGAAGCATGAAGTGATTTGTAGCTGGAATGTGGAACACACACATTAAGACTCACATAAACATTAAAACAGAAGATTCCTAAAGATCAGCTTAACACGGGTGAGTGCATGTAAAGTACAGCAGGCTGTAAGGGTGAAAACCAGACAGCTTGTGCTGGGAGTTGTCACCAGAACTTCAGTTATCAGCAGATCTGATAGAACCATCTTAGTCACGATCAGGTTTTAAAATTGTGAAGCTCTTAGCTGAGAAAACAGAAATGCTGGGATTTGAGGGCAAGGGGAAATAAAGATGGGTAGTGAAGAAAGGAAGCCTTCCCCTTCTGCCTAATAGCTTGGATGTGACTCTTCAGAGCTCAGCTAGCCGCTCCGGAGCGTCGGGTACCAGTGGTTCTCTTCCTGGTAACGTCGTCCCAGCCGCCTCTGAACCGCTGCTCTGAACATCTTCCGCGACAAATGTGGCGTTGATGTTTTTGTTCGATGGTTTGGTTTGTTTTATTTAAAAAAAAAAAAAAAAAAGCTCTGCTGTTATGACTGGGCCGTACCTTTAGCATTTTCCTCAAACATCTCCCTTAGCATCTTTTCCAGCGCTTGTCCATATTCTCGGTACTCTGCTTCTGTTATCTTGACACTGATTTCAAAGGGAACATTAAACTACAAAAACATTAAAAGACAGAGTTTAACAGACAAGTTCTGGACAAGGACACCACAAGTTGTATTCCTGGGAACGAAGGTAAGCAAGAGGTATAAAAAGTGATTCCACCTATTCAGTTAGTGCTGAGACATGTCGTCAGCCTCGCAGAAGCGGCGCGCGGTTACTGCAGACCAAACCGCGGAGTGAACTGAGGGAAAGAAACTTTACAGGAAACCCCCATTATTATATGTTAATTCTGAAATATAGGTGAATGCTAAATAGGAAATTATGATCTGAATTACTGCAGCTAATTTTAAATCATTTCACACCATCAATGCTGGCAGTTTCCATGTGCCCTTTCCTATTTGCATTTCAAGTTCATTGTGACTGTAGTTTTAATTTGTACTGTCTCCTGTGACAGAAATTGTGTTACCCAAACCCACCCGCTAAACTCACATCTGAGCAAGAAGACGACAGACCTTAATTTCAATGTTGTTTCTGTCATCTTCTGCCCCTGCTTCATCTGTATCCCAGAAGCCTTCTGCGCCCCGACGATGCAATTGTGCTGTGGGGTTTTTGGGATCCTGTTGTTGCTAGAAAGCAAGCGAATATCTATATAGTCTTTCCATAGTCAAACGAGTCCATAGCGGGCAAGTTAGAACTGGTAATTAACACAGATGCAGCAAATTAGCTGAAGGCACCATCCACTTACATACGTATGGTGTGCAGGTCTGCAATAACTGTACTGCTATTGCTGCATTCACTTTAATAGGTTAATAAAAGAAGATGCCAACAAATTATTTAAATGCGTGCTTTCTCTTCAGCTGTGCTTTTTTTCAGATTACGAATTCTTAGTGAATGAGATTAGGTATGTATCCTCATAGCATGAATACAGCACGAGTGATTTGTTACAGAATTTTTTTTGAAGAACTCCTTCCTCTTCCAGAAGCTCTGAATGCTGTAAAGAATATTGGCTTTAAGGATTTACAGAGGAGGATAATCTTGAGAGAATATTTTTCTGAATTTTTTTACCTGTATTCTTTTATATTCAGGGCTTAAAAAACTGGAGCCAGCCAGAGTAGTTTCTGTCCAGAGGATGCTGAAAAGGACAGTTCCCAGCAGAGTGCTTCTGAGAAACATGATTGTCTTGCTGAGGCAGGGTGTCAAACCTGAAAGCATAGGGTGAGAAATTAAACGTACTTTGCAATCTCTGTATAATTGAATCCAAATCCAGTGAAAATATTTCTCCTTACTTGAACGACCTGAAATTATTTCTAAAGATGGATGTATAAAGCAAAAATACTTTTTCCATGCTAAAGGTAAAAAGTTCCTGTCCAGAAGAGACTATTACTGTGTTTCCTTCTGTAACTGAGATACAGAAAGTGGAACAGACAGGAGTTCTGTTAGTGGAGAGGAATTACACAAGGAACCACCAGAAGCTGAAAACGCTCTGAAACTTTACCTGGTGAGTTTTGTGGCTTCACCGAACAGCAGCTTTCTGAAACACTTTATATATTGTCTGGATTATTTGTTCTGCACTACAGTATTCCTGGAAATGCAATCTGATATGTATTTAAATTCCTTGGAAACTTGGCCTGCTTGCAAGATAACAAAATCAACAAAAAAAATGGAAACAGCACATAGATCTGTTGCTGCGCTTATTTTTATGTATAATGAGAATGTGCAGGGAGTGAAGCGAGAGCTTCCTTTTTTCCTGTGGCATTAACGTTGTTCCTTAAAAAAATGAATTAATAGCTGTAGCTGTAATGTGTATTTTTAAAAAGGAAAAGCTCCAAACCCTTTTTATCATCTGAGGTGGTGTAAGAGAAACGGAGAAGCTGAGCTGCGTTCCGGACCTGTGGCGACAGCCACGTTTCCCATTTTTGCCTTTAAGTGCATTCCTTCTTTGCTGTCCTCTCTCCCAGGTTCTGTTTTATCAGATTTTGTTCTTTTGCTGGAAGACTGAAGCTGAAAACGATACCTAGGAAACTTTGATTTCATTACTATAGAAACTGAGTATTAACAAATCTTTAAATCTCTGGTGAAGATCAGTAGCAGTGGCTGAGGGTCTAGAGAGATCCCGTGAGGAGAAATTGGGAATTTATTTTTTACTTGAGAAAGAGTAGGAGAAAAGAAGGAATATGTGATGAAGGATGACAGATTTGCAGCTGCCGTTGCTTCTATTTGACTTTACGTGGGTAATTTGTAGGATCCATTTTGCACTGCAGCCCCCCGAAGCTCCGGCACTAGGATGGAGGAAGGCGTGGGGAAACGTGCAAAGGGGGGAAATGAGGAGGAATGTCGTGAAATCAGGTTTCTGTTGGAGAAAATGTCACGTGGAGCCATTTATAACCACCGTAACTGTCCTCTGGCCAAGTAAGACTCTGCATCTTTTAGGACATCTGCGGAGCTGGAGAACTTTTATTTGGGGACACAATTCCATTTTGTTTTGTTCCGCAAACATGATTTAAGAGCTTTTCTTTGTCTGTGTCTCATGTTGTGGCTTCCTGGTTGATTATTTCAAATATTGTGCACTCACGCTGTAAATCAGATTGTGAAATTATCCAAATATTGAAAGAAAAAAACCCGTCTGAAATGTGCTTGGCGTCAGCTGAATTGGTAAAACTGGGGAAGCTACTAACTGTGATAAGGGAGCTGAAAACAGACGGAGGTGAGAGGTCAAAAACCAATTTCAAGTTCTTCACTGTGAACCTTATGGTGAGTATATTCTTTTTCTCTTTTACCCAATCCTGACCCCAAGTATGAGAAGGGAGGGGGGGGGGGGGTTAGAGA